CAGTGTTTGTTGTATTTTGTTTCAGTAGAACGTGGTCAAAGTAGAGAGCAGAGTTAATGCAGCTGATATATCAGAGGCCACTTAAGGATATGCTATACAAGCCAAATGGACCAACAAGACAAGGAGGCGCTTTTAGCTGCCAAATTGTCCCTTTAGTCCAGGGATGCAGCACGCAGGCCACTTCTGAAGCTCTTTCCACTCTGCTGTATTTTTAAATTCAGCTGCTTTAAAGAGCAGAAAATCCCTGCCAGTCTCAGTAACAAAGTAAAACCACCAGCACTGATTTTTAGTTCAACCGATCGGATAAAAGCAGGAACACAAAGCATTTTGGGTAAACACTGGGAACTCTCTGGTCAGCAGGGTTCTTATTATACTAAATCTTCAAAGTTAACGTCTATACCAGGGGTGACTAATTAAAAATCATCGGGGTCCGAATAAAGAAAATCATCAGGGTTCCTACAGCATAAGGCAAGTTAAATTTAAGAGTTTTTAATGCCACTTGAAATAAAAATTTAAGACCAAATTCACAAGAAACACAAGAAAAACCTGCTTGCGACATCTTAACCCAAAGGTTTATTTTAACATAAACCACTGCACTAATGTTTCAAATGTTGAAAAGCTTCCCATACAGGAAGAAAGCTAAAAACACACAAATGACAGATATATTTGAACAATTATTTAACTGAATTCACAAACTTTGTTTTAGCAGGGAACAAAACAAATCAGTTTTAAAGCCCCAACATAACCAGTGCTAAGTCTTTTTAGCAGCTATTTTTCTTTGTATGGTTTTCTTAGTATGTTTGATTTGGTGATAAGTGGAGGCGTTGCAGAGACAAGGGTGGAACTAAACTGAGAAATACCGGCTGTTTCTCTGTAACTCCATTTTGACGCTTTGTGTTTCGTGCTTCGCATGTGCGACTCCACTGCCTTAATTCCCATCGTTCTGAGCTTCAATGACTTCTTGCACTAAATCCACTGAGCCTCATGTATGTTCCCTGGTTTTAGCCGTGGAGGAAACTCTTGGCTGGAGACAATTTAGGTTACATTTACACTTGCTCATATTTTCCAGACAAAAAGTTAATGACGAATCTCCCAAATGTCCCGGCCGCAACAACGCATTATTGGTTCCGCTATCGGGACGGAACCAATAATGGCGAGACGTTATTTTTATTTTTTTTTTATAAAAAAAAAAAAAAGGTAAATTTTAACGTTTTATTTAGATTACAAAAATAAATCGTAATAAAAATAATCCTGTTTATGTTTTAAAAATTCAGACCTACGAAAGACTGATTTAAGACATTTTAATACCAATTAAGGCCTTAGTTTTATTTTGAAGAATTCAATGCCTTTTAAGACTTTTCAAGGACCAGCGGGAACCCTGCAGTAAAGGTCCGGAGACATTTTTAATCATAATCTGTAAAACATATTTCAAGAAAATAGAAAATTTTTCCATTTTAAAATCTAAAGTGTTTTTTTTTTCTAAGTAGAGAACAACAATCGTTCATTTTGGCTTATAGACAATTTCCTGATTCCCATACTTTCTCAAACACCTGAACTGAGCGTTTGTTATTTTCTTTATTTTTTCTGTCTTAAAGGAATAGTACACCCAAAACATGATTAGCCTTCATTTTCTACTCACCCCCATGCTGAACAACACTCTGGAGTACTTTTTTGATATCTCAAATGCATCTGGAGATCTGGGAGGCTTCTTGCTGTCTGCTGACATTCAAATAATGGAGGTCTATGGCGCCCGAGGCAGAAAGGTCCATAAAAGTCCACAAAAAACGTGTCAATATTCCTCCATACTGCTCGTCCAATGTATTCCAAGTGTCCTGAGTGGGTAGCGTCCAGAATTTACTCGAAACGAAGTCATTTAGAATGTTTTTAGAGCCTAAACAGTAGTGTATAGGATTTCCTGAAAGCGCGTTCACGACGCTACGGAAGCCGGCAGACCAAACCAGCGCATTCAGCTCGGCAAAGAACTCATGCTCTTCCTCAACACTGAAGTCCTCAGACATTTTTCTTTCGTTGTTTCTTTCTTTGCACAGGTAAACAGCACATTTCTTCTTCTACGCTTGCATTATCGGCAGAGCAGACGCTGAATGCGCACTTTCATCTGGTTTGGTCTGCCGCAGTTTCCGTAGACTCGTGAACGCGCTTTCAGGAAATCCTATACACTACTGTTTATGCTCTAAAAACATTCTAAATGACTTCGTTTAGAGTAAATTCTGGATGCTACCCACTCAGGACACTTGGAATACATTGGACGAGCAGTATGGAGGAATATTGACACGTTTTTTGTGGACTTTTATGGACCTTTCTGCCTCGGGCGCCATAGACCTCCATTATTTGAATGTCAGCAGACAGCAAGAAGCCTCCCAGATCTCCAGATGCATTTGAGATATCAAAAAAGTACTCCAGAGTGTTGTTCAGCATGGGGGTGAGTAGAAAATGAAGGCTAATCATGTTTTGGGTGTACTATTCCTTTAATGAGAGCAGTGGGCTTTAGGCTTTAACCCTTTTCCACAGGTTTTTGATCACTTCATTCCCTTACAAATGGAGTCCCCCCCCCCGTCCCTCAGTGAGATCTAGACGCACAAGATCTATATCTAGCAATTCAGCAAAGATCCTGTTACATGGCTGCACATCTTATTTTGGCATCTGACCAATTAGATGAGCCTTTGAATGATATATTAAATCACTATAAATTAAGTTGGAGAAAAAAAAAGTTAACAAGTCAAGAAAAAAAAGTAAGAAGTTAATTGAAAAGTAAAAAAAAACTAGTTAAGAATTATATTTAGGCTTATAAACTAAAAAATATAATTTTAAGTATCAGCATTAATGCATCTAAGGTTATATTGTAGCAAAAAATAAGTGCTTTTTTTTTTACTCTCAGTGTTTTTCATGAATTTCTTATAGAATAAATTTTGTTATTAAATTGCCATTCATTTTGCCATAAAAATATCATTTTTTTAATGTTACAAAGGAAGTAAACTCTTGTCCTGGATTCAAATAACACTACTGGCTTAGAATATTGATTTTCAAAGTATTTCACTGGGTTTCCCTATAAAGGCTTTAAACCTGGGTTTAACCGGAGACTAAGCCATTCTCAAGCACATATCAAGGAGCTCATTTTGAGCCTGGATCCAGATTTATTGTTGATTCTGTTCATGGTGGAGAATCCTGCTTCACAGCAGCAGGTTGAGCCAAACATCCTCTAAATGTTCAGGGTCATCCTTGAGCACGCCATTTCACTTTTCCTTCACCAGTTCACCGTCTGTGCGGTCTTGATCAGTCTTATTTAATACATTCAAAAATGTAATATTTTCATTTATAAGATATATTTATTTGTTTGATTTTGGAAACAAATATAGTATTAATCTTATTTATTTTCTGGCTACTAAAAATAATAATCTTCGATTATAGAAAAGCTACTTATGGCTTCTGTATAGTTAAAATAAACTAATGAGCAGTTTAACAGGAAATGCGTTTTCCCTCTTTTTTTATATATATATATGCCTAATGACATTTAGGGATATGTTGTAATGGGTGATGTGTCACATTTCTGTATTTGTAGCTGTGAAAAAGGCTGTTATTATTCGTAAACTAGAAAGCTGTATGATTGAGTCCATTTCTGTACCTTTGTCCTTCAGCCTGGAGACGGTTTACAGAAATTTAAAGTGATGCAGAGATTAATGGTGCTGTAACCTGGTCCTTTTTTTATCTTGAGTAAAAACTCATATTTCATAGGGAGCATTTTGTTAAAATTTAATAAATATTCAATGTGAAAGTACAACACAACAAGATTTGAATGGCCTACTTCTAGAGAAATCCAAAAAAGCCCCACCATCACCCCCACAACATCTTTGATTCCTCCTTAAATAAAAATGTCCATGAAAAATGACCAATAATGGAATAAAATAAAAACTATACCATCCAAATAAAAATACAAAAACAAAAAACTGATACTGCAATAAGAATAACAAAACCATTTTAAAGTTTTTTTGTTTGTGTCTTTATATTAAATTAATGTAGGACTGAAACAGTTAATTTGATTAAACGATTATGGAAACAACTAATTTAGTATATTTCAGAGTGTAGAGACTCTAAAACATGCCTTTAGCTGACAGAGCTACCCACTTAGAGCAGCTATTATACCAATATATTGTAAAAAATAAATGAAAATATGTAAAATATTTCGCATTTCAGATAAAAACTATCCACTCTATCCAGAACTCCTCAAGTGGAAAACTTTTAGTTTCACCTGGTTTAATTTAATTAAAAGTCTTGTTTAAGGAACTTTAGGCTAACCAATTATTAAGCCATTAATAAAAAAAAATAATAATCAACAGATTAATTAATTGGCAAACTAGAGATTTCTTGCAGCTCTACCTTAATGTGAGGTCTAGTTTCCAGTTGCTGTTTTCTGCTTACTTTCACCATACCGCATTACACCAGCAGGTGGCAGTAGGCCAGTCGGTTTGTTTGTGTCGCTGCATTGCTCTGTCCTTATCTGGGATTTTATTTTAACTATTATTTTTCTTTTTTGTCTTGCCTAAAATCGACTAAAACTATAACCAAAACTAAACGGAAACTAAGCATTTCCAAAAACTAAACTATTAAAGACTAAAATCGGAAATAAAACTAACATAGAATGGAAATATCAGATGTCAAATCTAGAAAAATAAAACAAATGAAGATTTAAAACTATTGAAGATCAGAACAAATGAACCTTGCAATATTTAAAAGTCACATAAAAAAATTAGGTATTATTTTTAAAAGCAGGACTTTAATGAACCACTGGCAGGTTTCAATGATGGAAGTGATGAAAAAGGAGCTTCGACAAGATTGGAAAAACCGTACAAATGTTTCCTTTGGAATATTGATACCTCAGATAAGCCTGGCTGTAAGCTGCTGTGATGCTATTGAGCTCACTGTTTAATCCTGCAGCCCCTGACAGATGAAGCAGTGTGTCATACTGTGTGGACAATTGACTTTACCTGGGATTTCCAGTAGAGAGGATGGCTGTGGAGCTCAATAGTTCTTCATATAGATCGGCGCCTGACACTGGGAAGGCTGTGTGCTGGGCCAGGAGCACCCGGCGGATGGCAAACAGAGCCTGAAATACAGAAAACACCGACTCAAACCGCTGCTGCAGACACCAGCTGGAAAGTTTTCAGAATCATCCAGCAACCGATGAACTTCATCGCATTTACTTATAATTGCTATGAAATGAAGTTGATTTTGTGTCTGCGGAACCATATATTAGTTTGACTCATGCTGAAATGACCCAGATTTTTCCTTCAAATGTCATCTTTCAAATGCCCTGAACAAGGTTTGCAGAGTCTTTCAAACCAATTGATACAGAATTTGTTAAAGGAAAAGTCCGGTCAGCAAGGAATAATCAATGGGTCATTATTTATACCTAAAACTAATAATGGAATGAGAGCTAAGAACAAAGTATAATTTTGTGATGAGGCTGGAGCCATGGATGTAGGACCCTATAAAATCCATTTTATTTTTTCCCAAATTCAGTTTTTTCTATTTTAATTTTTGAAAATTAATTTTTGTTCCGTTTATTTCAGTTTAACATGCGAAAAAAGTCAGAATTCTGACTTTTTTCTCAGAATTCTGACTTTAATCTCAGAATTCTGACTCAATTCTGACAATAAAAAAGTCAGAATTCTGAGAAAAAAGTCAGAATTCTGACTTTTTTCTCAGAATTCTGACTTTAATCTCAGAATTCTGACTCAATTCTGACAATAAAAAAGTCAGAATTCTGAGAAAAAAGTCAGAATTCTGAGATTAAAGTCAGAATTCTGACTTTTTTCTCAGAATTCTGACTTTAATCTCAGAATTCTGACTCAATTCTGACAATAAAAAAGTCAGAATTCTGAGAAAAAAGTCAGAATTCTGAGATTAAAGTCAGAATTCTGACTTTTTTTATTGTCAGAATTCAGTCCAAATTCTGAGAAAAAAGTCAGAGTTCTGACTTTTTTCCCATACTAAACTGAAATAAAATTTAAAAATCAGTAATTTTTTTTTTTCCACTGCCCCTAATCCTCTTCCGTATTTACCCTTTGCATAAAAAGAACGTGCTTTTAATGTTAATGATTAAAATGTACACAAATAAAATAGGAATGACCTTAAATTTATTGAGATAAAAAAACACATTTCCTCAGTACTTTTACTGCATGATGCAACATAACACTGCACTCTAAGTACTAACAAAATATTATTAATATCAACCAATGGTTATAAATAAAAGTGCTCCATTAGCTTTTTCAAGTAAAAAAATAAAATAGGACCTCTTAATTTCAGAATTATAAAGTATTTCATAAAGAATCATATTTTCCATACAGTACATTAAAGTGCATAAAAAACAAGGCAAAATACAGCAAGTATTCCTGAGTTATATGATTAAAGTGGACTTTGTCATCATGTAACAGACAAAAACTTTTGATCAAAAGTTACTTAAACAAGTATACAAGTTGTAGGACTAATCCTTGTGAGCTACCTTTCTTCATTTAAGCTTCCCACCTATCAGAAACATGACAATTGAAATACATGATTGCCAGCCTCTTTGTATTGAGTTCAGAGAGTCTCTCTCTTGTCTGTGAGAAGAGTTTTGTATTTGTATTTAGTATTTTTTGCGCTTCCAATCAATGGAATGTTGACAAAACTTTCTAAACAATAGTTCACCTGACACTTAAAAGTCACGAGGGAACTGCTCGGCACAGAATTTCATTTCAAATGTAGAAATTATGCGTTTACACTAGATTCCACGTTAATTTGCCAACTCCGCGATTCTGCGATCGCGGAATTATAGGGCCCTATGGATGTCTCCTCATCTGCTAACATGTGTGATGTGATGTTGTGATGATGTGGCAAACCGGAGTTCTATAAAATGCAACTACTGCCACCTACTGGTTAGTGACGTCACGGTGCGGTATCGGCTGTTGATCAAGTCCCAGTGCTGTATCTGGTGTTTTTGTCACAACGCGCTTTTATCCAAGTCATCTTGAAAACATTCTTCTTCCAAATGTTGGCTACATATTACGGGTTTTTTCTCTGGCCAGAAGTTCGATGGCAAATCCTCCCTCTTCCAGTTGGCGATCCAACGACCAACCCGTCCGTGGAGGATCAGGAATCAGAAAGGTGGAATAACTCTTTTTTTCACTTTTACCCGATGTATTCCAGCATCCAGCTGCCATGCACGTGGGCATTGTCAGTTTCACTATAGCTCTGGTGAATTTCAATGGTGAAGTCCTCTGGAAATCTTCAATAATTGTTGTTGATTGCAGATGTGTCTAGTAGTTCCCATTGATTTAGCTTGTAAAGCGGGGAGAATGGCGCTAGGCTTACCGCACCGTGACGTCACTGCTGGAAGATGGCAGGAGGGAGGGGTTACTATATTTGGGCAAAAATGGCCGCTCCCAGACTCAGTGATTGCAAAGAAAATTGTTAATTTTTTTTACTATTTAAGGCTAAATTCATTAAATCACCGCAAATGTTTTCGTTGTACGCATAAATTCTGGTGCATTTGCAGGAATGCTTTTTAATGTACACTGTCCCTGTGAAATAAATAAATTAATTTAATTAAATTAAATAATGATCCATTGATCATTCCTTGCAGACCGGAATTTTCCTTTAAATCGCTGCACTTAACATCTGTTCCGATTTAAACTCATGCAACTATTTTTAGGCTCTTGTGCTTCTCCAGATGTTGTAAAAACAGCACCAAGTGTCGTTCCCAGAATCCCTAAACGTAGGTCACTCTGGCAATGAACTAATTTCCAGGAGACGGAACAAGGTTTTTCCTGACGCCTACCTTTAGAATCAGCCGGAGGATAAATTTATAAGGTTTAATTTCCTTTTAAATTTTTCTCAAATGCGCAATTATTCAAAGACCGTAGAAATAAAATTGGCTCCTATTTAGAATAAGTATCTTCATTAGTTCAGTGGATGAACTCTACACCTTTTTATGTAACTGACAGCAAAGCGCAGCAAAGAAGCTCAGCAGAGAACAAAGTTTGGCTTGCTTAATTGTAATCTATGGCTCAGTAACCATTGATCTAGACGGAGCCACACCCATTCTTGCATTATGATAGACATGTTAGGGGAACCGCATTGAGCATCCGGCTGCATTTCTCTACTAAAAGTTTATTCTTTGAAAATGTTCCTCCCAGAAACGAGGCTGGATTATAAACAGTTTGTCGAAAAAGTCTGAGCGCTTCACCGGAGCCTCCGCTCGCCGCTGCTGCTCCACGCATTGTGGAGAAATGCTCTCCAGCATATCAATAAACGGTTCCACGGTAAATCCCCCACACGCACCTCTTGCCTTCTCATTAATTAGGCAGAGAAACACAACAGGCATCGACCGAGACCGACTGCTAGAGCAGACGGTGATGACAGGGAGGATCTAACCTGACAGGCTTTCACGCCAACTAATCAATCAGCTTTCAAAGAGATCCTGGTTTTTCATTTTCTAAACTACAGGTAACTTCCAACCAAAGAACAAAAAGGCGAGGCGAGCGAGTCCGATGAAACATGGCTATAATTAATCATCTTGCTGAACTCTAAAAAACAGATAAATGTTGTGGTTATATGTTATGTTATTGATCAGAGCCAATATGTGGTAAAACTTGCCTTATTGTTCTAAAACATAAACGTAATATATGGATTTTCCTCAAGCTTTATATGAGTTTACTTGCTTCCAGGCTATGAACACAGAGCTATAGAGCATTTTAAGCATTTTCTTTTTGCTGCAATGAGTGAATGCTTTTAATAGACCCACCTTTAGGATATTCATAAAAGAACAAAAAGAGCTTCCTAAAGGAGCTTATGTTTTTCATCTTATGGAGGTGAAAGATATTAGCTTGGTGTTAAATGGGCCGTAGCGTCGTGAATCAGTGAGCCTATCAGGATACAGTTGCAATGTGTTATCTGCCCACTTACTGCTTGATTCTCACCAGCCATACAGTCAGGAGGGGATTCACCGTTAGAAGATATTAGGCAGTTGACAAGGGCCCCAAGTTCCTGGGGGCCCCATAAAACTCTGATTCCATGTATGGTTAATACAACTATTCCTTATTCGTGCACATTAATTATGTTTTTGATTAAATCCTTTGGCTAAAATGCCATCAGAACGCTGACAATATTAAGTGTGTCTCAGCCCCCCCCTTCAGTTTCCACCATATTGGATCAGCCCATTTGCTGCACATGTTCAGAAAGGTCCAAACAGACAGCAGCAAACCATTTGAAAACAAACCATGCAAAGAGCAGTGTTGCCAACTTAGCGCTTTAGTCGCTATATTTAGTGACTTTTCAGACCCCTCTAGCACTTTGATTTCTAAAAAGCTCCTAGCGCCAAATCTAGAGACTTTTTTCTGCTACTGGAGACTTTGGAGACAACATCTAAGAGCAGCAAACTCTGCTCTCCAGAGCAAGTAGATTGGTAACTCCGCCTCATGGCTTTATCCAGCTGCTGCCTACCTTTGTGAAGCAGGAAAAAGACTAAAACAAAGAGAATCCGGTAGAACTTTTTATTGCCTACCTGGAATGGGTGACAGTAGTTGAAGAACTTTTGGCTCTCAAAATGGTATCGGTGCCCTATTGGTTGGTACTCGCCGATACCGATACCATCATTTTTGTGCTGGATCGGTAGCCTCGTGAGACCATCCTGATCTCGCGAGCTTTCAAGGTTTCACTCGCAGATCAGTCTGGAGACTCTCCGTTAAAGAAAATTTGGAGCCGTTCACCAAACGAACGTCCAATCAGCGTTGGCTTTGAGGCGGGTTGAGGTGTGACGCAACGAGAAGCGCGACAGTTCAGTCTAAAGAACATGGCGGCTTCAGCCGAGCAAGTTTTATCGGAATTACAGAGTATTTCTTCACTGAAAGAAGAGCAAAACACTGCTCTGGAGGCTTTTCTCAGAAGGAATAGATGTTTTTGCTCTTCTCCCGCTGGTTTCGGCAAGAGTAGCCTGGCTTGTGGTTGTGTTTTCGTCGTTGCTCTGTTAGTACGTTATATGCTTCATTGATCTGATTGGTTTATTTGGCCCGTCTATCACCAACATAGGCCAATCAGCTAAGCAGTATTTTCGCCCCTTCCCAAAAT